TTTTTTTTTTTTTTTTTTTTTTTTTAGCCCTGGTTCTGTTCCAGCCTCCAGCCTGCGGGCCCTGTTGCACTGCACAGGCCGGCTTGGGTGTTGCAGGTTTCTTCTGCTGCGGCGCGGCCCATGTTAATTGAATTATTGGCAGGGGCAAATTTGTGGCAGACACACATCCATATTGGCGTACAGTGGGCAAACAGTGGGGCGTGACTGCGCACTAAAAATGTGAGACTTATTGATTGCTGTTTGCTAAGAGGCGCCTTCTTTGCATTGGCAGCAGCTACAGGAGGAGATACCAAGATAGATACATGAAATGTTGCATACATCAAGAAATCATAGATCGAAAATATAATCTGATTACAGAAAAACATTTATCTTAAACTTTTTTCTGGAATTAACATCTCTCTCAATGTTAATTTAAATAAACTATTTGTCAGCCAAAGGGGATACCAAAAATCACAAGTATAATCGATCTAAAATTTCTAAAAAGTACCCAAATTGGGTTTCCTTTATACTGATGTATATAATTTTTTATATTTGCATTTCGCATTTTTTAAGCTTTTAATTACAACAGTTTCATCACAGTAACAGACTGCTTACAGAAACTGTTAGCAACCAAGCGAACTAGAGCAGCTGTTAGAGAATATTATTACAGTCAAATACCATTACAGTTCGCTGCTGTTAACAGTGTAACAAGCAACAAGTGGATCTCAAAATGTAATCTAAACGCAATGACGCCCAGACTTCAGCCAGCAAAGTCGAGCGACGCAGAGAAAGGCGAACCGAAGCGAAATTGCTGAATTTGTCAACTATGTATAGTGTATGAATGCATATGTAATTGTCAATAAGGCAAGCAAAGAGCTGTTGGTTTAAATTTAAAATAAACGAACCCAAAATTGTATAGCGGTAAAGGACGGTAACTCTTAATCTATGACTCTGGCCAGTTAGAGTGTATGAATAATGTTATTTATCATAAATAAATAATAAAGAAGCTTACCTTATTTTTTTCACATATTGGCTTATTTAATAAAATAAGCAGCACAATTTGATTCGCATTATAAAATTTTCACACAAGCACGCAAAAATTAGTCATAGGAAACAAAATTTGAAAGAACGGTAAACTGCATACGAAATGAAAACAAACTCTGACCGAGGACAATAACCGACTGAGAGTGACGCCGGGCGAAGGCAAACGAAATAAAGGGAGAGCCTAGCTCTGCTTATTGGAATGCTGGAAGACAGAAACAAGTGACTGAGCACATTGCAATTGGAATGAAATGATGGAATTTGTGGAAGACGAAAACGGAAAAGAGAAGAAAGAGAAGAAACGGATCGAATCGAATCAAACAAATCACTTTTAATGTACAAAATATCTATATAATGCATACATATGTACATGTATACAAATTTATATATAAAATTGTTTGTCCTTGAATTACAAAGCGCTATCTTAGCTATTTGCATTCAGTTCTGAGCCTTTGGGCCGTGTCTGGATAAAGCCATAAGCATAAATTCACGTGCTAATAGGCAGGTAATTGAGCTGCTGCTGCTCCGCTGGTGCTGCTGTTGCTGTCATAATAAAGCCAACAATTACGCAGCAAATTAAAATCAAATAACTTAGCCAACAAATAGCCTAGCCATAAAAATCACATGCAAATTATAGTGGACGAGCAGAAAAGGCTGCGATTTACGAGTGAAGCGGCCAAGTGGCAGCAACTGTTGCTGCTGTGGCAGCTGCAGCAGGGTCGCTGCTTGCGGCGCTTTAATGCAGCAGCCACCTCAGCTCCACTCCCCCTTCTCCACTTTCCTTCTCCCTTAACTTGGCCCCCTATACAAATAAAGTCATTTGAGTCAATACAAAATTGGAGCATCCGATGAGGCACGTCAAATGGAAAATGAAAAGGGAAAGTTGAGAAGAGGAAAACTCTGAGAAGCGAGTTGCATAAATATTGAACAGCTTCTCGAATGTTGCCTGCCACTTGCCACTTGCCACTAGCAATTTGCAACTTGTTCTGCAATTGTTCTCTGTTTCTTCTGCTGCTTCTTGGCCCTTTTATTGAGGTACAGCTTCCACACATGGCACAGTGGATCAGACATCTGAAATATTGTTAAAAATCTTTAAATTGTTGAAGTATATCTAATTGAAGTTCAAAAGATTAAAAAACGAGACATTTTAGTATAAAAGATTTTAGGATAAATTATTTAAGAGTTACAGATTTATATATAACAGACATCATTGAAACAGAAGAACAGAACAGAACAGAACCATGACTCAAAGTCTCAACTGGTCCTCAAGCTTTAGTATAATAGATTTAAATGTAGTCAGCTAATGTATAAAAGTCTTGAAATGTAAATACCTCAAAGTATTTATATATATGGAATATATAAAAATATTTGTAGTTCCAATATTCTATGCTTGCGGCCCATTGTACAGGGCTGGCAATTTGTTATTCGGCTTGAATGTTAATTATATACTTTATATCCAGCTTGTGGTACTCCGGCTTATTTAGAGCTTTATTTATGAAAGCATTTAATGTAAATTGTTTGCAAAGGCCACAGGCTATCATTATGTGGCATGCGATATCTGGAAATTGTATATGTATGTATATACATATAGTAGGTATATTCTCTTATACATATATGCGTATAAATCAATTTCATTGCTTGAGCTAATTAATAATTAATATCAGAATGTAGAACTGAATAAAAGTTTGATTAAGCCTGAAAGTCGACACCCACGAAGGATGTTTCGAAAATTGCTTTTTCTCTGATATTTTTCTTCTTGTTCAGGTATTTTATGTTATTTATTTTTGCGCATTTTTTATGGGCATAAAGTGGATCATAAAGTAATTAATGCGCTAAAATGCGACATTAAAACGCCGCAGGGCCAAAAGCAACGAAATTTTCTTCATGCATCTTCGTGGGCTGCATGAAGACAACAAAGCGACTGCAATCAATCTCTTCCCCTTCTCTCGCCTCCTCCTTCACTTTTTGAGGGCAGGCGTCTTTTGAGGGCGTGTTCTGTGTGCTCTGCGTTGCACCTACGCCAGCCCAACTGAGCTCGAACTGCGCCCAGACTCCAGCAGATTAAGACCCCAACCACAGAGAGTGGCTGAGGAAGGGAGAGAGAGAGAGAGAGAGAGAGGAAGATAAAAAAGAGGCAGAGAAAGATTCCCCTATAATAATTACAGAGCTCGAGACTTGACTTTTTGATTGTGGCATGCGTGTAGAAATTCTGCTGCAACGGTGCTTTCTTGTTGTTGGTTTTGCCTCACTGACAGCGACTGACAGACAGCAATTGCCAAATATAATAAATAATTAGCTGGGGCGATGTGGGCGTGGCGAGGTGTCGTGCCATGCATTAAATCAAATATTGGTCGCTTAGAGAAAGCGATCTGACTGCGACCCAATTGGCCAAAGATAACACAGATTTAACATTGCTGATCTTGCAAAGGCTGACTCCAACTAGACTAGTGAGACCAATTCAGCTAGGTAGAATATTGAGTGGGAGTTTAACAGAATTTTTCTGTTTTACAGAATTGTTCTAAGCACAGGAGGCCATTTGGTCGTTCGTAATCTACTCGATTCTACTCGAGCGCTTCAAAAATACATTCTCAAATGCCACGATTAAAAGAGATTATAAGAGATGTAACCTTAAGTCAAGCTATTAATAGAATATAATATAATAGCAGTTTACAGGCAAAATATTCCACTTGAGCTCTTCAACAATGCATACTCAAAAGTCACATATACTTTAACTGCTATAGAATACTCGTATAGGAGTGTATATAAATAAATAACAGCACACTGTTAAAAGACACAATATTCCACACTCAAAACGAGCCAAAGGCGTCAGAGCGAGATGGCAATATGAACAGAGTGTCAATAAGCGATACTAAAACGTAACGTTGCAAAGGCGTGCAAGCGAGAGCGAGAGAGAGGGCTAGCCAGCGCGGGAGAGAGTGTGCAAAAAGCTCACGCTGATAACAGTTTGAAAGGCGCTCGCCATGTCTACCAATATAAAGCGAGCGCTGAGCGTCCAGTCAACTGTCAGCAGCCGCAACAGGTGCACAGAGCAGAAACATTTTCGCTGAATATTTCTAGTTCTCATTAAAAGCAAAAGCAATGACAACTCTTGTGCGTAAACTAATTAGCACTGCAAATGCAGCAAAGCCGGTGGCTCCATACAAGTAAGTAAATGGAATAAAGAGCAGGAGAGAGCGAGAGAGAGCGGTACACAGAGCGCAAGCGAGAACGAACTGTCAATCATGTGTTTGTTTTTGCAGTCAAGCTGTTGTGGCCGATCGCACTGTTTATGTCTCCGGCTGTTTGGGCTTGGACAAGACGACGATGAAACTGGTGCCAGGTGGCGCCACTGAGCAAACAGAGATGGCGCTGCAAAATCTGGAGGCAGTGCTGAAGGCAGCCGATTCCGGCATCGATAAGGTGATCAAGAATACAGTTTTTCTCAAAGATCTGAATGACTTTGGTGCGGTCAACGACGTATACAAACGAGGTGAGCAGTCCAATTGGTTTTATACTGTTTTTGCCGATAAGCCAGCGGCATCTGTCGTCTTATCATTTTTCCAATTGGCAACGAGAGCAATAAAAAACATAATCGATAACATTTTGCGATTACAGTGTTCAACAAGGACTTCCCAGCACGCAGCTGCTTCCAGGTGGCCAAGCTACCAATGGATGCCCTCGTGGAGATCGAGTGCATCGCTTTGACGGGCCCCGTGCGCACAGTTCAAAGCGAATAGCAATCAAAGAACGCTAAACTTTGATCCGAAGTCAACGTAAATACAAAATAAAAATATATAAAATCATAAAGGCAAGAAAAAATGAAAAAATTTTATTTTACAACTTGTTGATATGAGTGCTAGAGATGGCAGCGTGTCACGATGAATGAGAGCAATAATATTTGCACCCATGCTGTTGGCTGCTGGCCGGCACTTGCAACAATTGTTGCTGCAGCACAAATGTTGCTGCGTGCGCAGGCGTTGCTAATCGCCGTCTTATGTAAAAAGAGAGAAACAGGCAACAACTTTGCATTTAAGCCTTATATAGTTTACAATTTGCATCGGCGGCAATTTATCTTTGTTTTTATAATCATTTTGTTGTTGCTGTTGTTGTACGTTCAGCTGCGGCTGCTGTGCGCCTTTTGTATTATATTTCATCAAATGTTGCTGCATAAATCATTGGCAACATGCGGCACAACTTTTCGGCAATGTTGCTAACGGTAGCCGCTTAGCCAGCCGCTTAGACAAAGCGTTTATTTCACATTCAAATTTAAAAGTTATTCATAATGCCGACAACTTGCTTGCCGCTTGCCGCACGTCGCACGTTGCACGTTGTACGCTGCACGTTGCGGCAGTTGCAATTGCAACTTGGCTGCTCCACATTGATGCGGCTGCTGCCTTTTGGGCAATGCCATTTTTGGCTCTCAGCTTCGTTTTGTTTAGCATTTGTTTTGATTTTTTCGCATTGAAATGAATTTTCAGTGAATTTGTCTGCCACTCGACGCTGTTGCATGATTTATTAACCTTGTTGCAAGTTGCTGTTGTTGCATGCATTGGTGTGAATATGAATGCCCCACTGATGCACGATTATCGCAATTTATTTGTATCTCTCTTTTTATGTTTATATTGTTTCTGTTTTGTTTTCTGCTTTTTTTTTCCTCACTCTTCACTTGGCAACATGTTTAGCACCCGCAGCGCTGGCAACATTCATGTTGATTTGGTTGGCGTGTAATTAATTCGTGGCACATCACAATTTACATGCATAAATATTGTAATAAATACGCATAAATTGATGACAACAAACTGCAACAAGTGATGACCCGCTGCAGCAAGCCAGTCAGCCAGCCTGCCCCCTGCTGTGCTCCATCTGCCCAGACATTTGACATAAACACCTACGCAGTCGCTGCTGCGGTCGCTGTCGCCGTAGCCACCGCTTCGCCTTGCTATGAAGTGCGGCTAATTAATTTCGACGCACAGGCGACAAACGGAGCCAAAGGGACACCAATGGCAACACCAACGCGGTGAAAGTGCGCATAATTTACACGCACGGGCCAAGGCGACATGCCAGACAGACGCCAATTGCGACTGGATTACTGGAAAACTGCAAAACATAAAAATAATAAACAAAAATGTAAAATATTCGAAATTTTGGTTGTTAACTCTTTGTCAATTTGCTTATCAGCTATATGCCTTTGATCGAGCAATCGCTAATTAAACAAGCTACATGCGGTAGCAGACGTAGACGCCCAAAAGTATCAAATTACAATATTTTACAATTTACCAAACAGTCGCAAGTTGTCATAATTAATATATTATGCGACATAATGAAAAAGTTGACACATAACTAATTAGTTGATGCACAAGGCAAGCTTTCACTTGTCCTGCTAAGTGTTGTTTAAGCATACAAGTTAATATAGGTTTATTTAACCTACAATTTTAGAGCGCGTCATTTTAAATTTAACATACTCTTGGGCGCGAGCAAATATATCGATATTTCCTTAGAAATATAACTCTGTTAATAGTAACAGCAATAGGTGGGTTTACTGTTAACACTCATGCAACAGCTGTTGAATTTTCGCATATTCACACTGTTAAATTAAAAAAGCTTAGTTGCGCTTACTCAATTCTTAACACAATTTAATATTGCACGATTTACAGACGTTATTCGTTGTGTATTTTTAAACAGCAAAAACTGTGGCGCAAATGTATCGCTATCGCATGCAACATTGCCCTGTTGGTCGGGCAGAGCTGGTCTGTCTGTCAATGGTACAAAAATATCGCTTATCGACATGTCGGAATGGCAAAATTAGAGCATAACAACACAACAGCCGAATATCTCATATGAATTACATATAATCAATATACATTGCAATGCATGATAACTTAACAAGCCGCAAAAGAATCGGTAACAAATTGCGGTAACAACAATAAACAAGTGATAAACCACAATCCAGCTATATTCCGTTAAAAACAAAGTCAACGCCGCTTTGGCAAAAAAAGGTACAAGACAACAACAAGAAGCAGCACACACACACAGACACCAAAAACACACATACACAAGCGCATTTGGTCTCTGCCATGCATGAAAAAGTGAAATAGCAAAAAATCAACTATACAATTTTTAAGGAAACAACAAAATATACAAATTTACCCCAGTGATTCATATTTATTAATACTTGATTACTGGTGCAACACTATTATAATACCAATTGTTGCAAGAGATTAGTTATTTCATGCAACACAAAACAACGATTTGTAGCGCTCCGTGTGAGTTTTTCATTTTTACATTTCTCTTTATGTGCGCCTGCCTACGTCTGTCTCTGTGTATGTGTGTGTTTGTAACAAAGTCGTTGGATTTCTGAAAGCAACAACACGAAAGATCATCACTGCGACAATGAAAGTCCCAGAGAGTAGGAAGAGGCAGAGAGTGAGAGCGAGCAAGACTCGCCGATTGCTATGAAAAAAAAAAAAAAAAAAACGATACTGCTGACTTGCAATTGCAGCGCGAATGCAAAAAATAAACACAAGAAAAAAAAATAAACAGAAATTTATCTGATCACTTTGTATATTTTTTCTCTCTTTCT